CATGCCTGTTATCCCAGTACTGTGGGAGGCTGAAGCCGTAAGATCTCAAGTTTGAGTCCAGTACGGACATCTTAGTGATTTAGGAGCTGAGTGTGATGGTGCATGACTCTAATGCTAGGACTCAGAAGGCTGAGGTAGGAGAATCTTCATGAATTCAAGGCCAGGCTGGGCTACACAGCAAGTTCAAGGTCAGCCTGAGTAATACAGCAAGACCAGTCTCAAAGAAAAAAAAAGTGATTTAGGGAGACTCTCTTTCAAAGTAAAAAAAAAAAAGCTGGGATATAGCTCAGTGTCAAGGCCCTGGGTTCAGTCCCTAGTACAGAAAAAAAAAAGCATAGATTATCTTATAAATATATACATTTCAAGCTGGGCGTGGTGGTGCACCCCTGTAATCCCAGCACTCAGGAGGCTGAGGCAGGAGGATCCCTGTGAGTTTGAGACCAGCCTGGGCTACATAGTGAGTTCCAGGTCAGTCTCAACTACATAGTGAGACCCTGTCTCAAACAAACAAACAAAATATATATACACACATTCCAATATATATAAATACAAATTAAAGGACCAGGGATTTAGCCCAGTGGTGCCACCACCTGCCTTGCAAGTGCAAGGTCCTGAGTTCAATCCCAGGTACAAACACACACACACACACACACACACACACACACACACACACACACACATTAAATGAGATGAGGTACAGTTGAATATGGTGGCACAAGGATGTAATCCCAGCACTCTGGAGGCTGAGTCAGGAGGATGATAGTAATATTGAGTTCTAGGCCAATATATACTATATGTCAAGACCCTGTCTCAAATAACTAAATCCTTCAATTTTTCAAAAAAACATGCCTAATAAATTATTGAATATAATGCCAATATTGTATGTTTATGTGAAGATATCACACAGACACACTGGTACTTTATATCTGTGATGTGATATTGGCACTTAACTTCTGCATTCTTCCCCCAAACCCCAGCCTAATTCTGAGGGAAAACATCAAATATTGTACTAATTGAAAGACATTCTACAAAATGCTTGACCAGTATTCACCCAAACTGTCAAGATCTTCACATACATTGACTGTCACAGCCCACAGGAGAATCAGAAAACACAATGACTACAAAGAATGTGCTATCTAAGATGTGACCATGTCACACAAAAAAGACATAAGGTGAAAACTAAGGAAATCTGAGTATAATATGACTTTAACTAATGATACTGTATCAATATTGGCTCACTAATTATAACAAATGAACCGTATGTGTAAGATGTTAATAACAGAGGAAACAGTATGGGGTAGATATGGAAACTACACTATTTTCACAAATTTTTTATAAATCTAAAATTATTTTAAAATTTAGTCTTTTGGCCTCTTGCATGTTAGATTAGCACTCTGCCACTGAGCTATAACCCAAGTCCTTAATGTTATTTTTATTTTTTTAATTTTAATTTGTTTTATGAGTACGTGTTTGTAGTACCTAATGATTACATTCCTCATGGGGAGTTGGTACAGGTACATAATACATCTTCATTCTTTTTACACCTCCTTTCCCTCCACTGATCTCCCTCCATCTCTTGCCTCCATTCCTTTGCAAAAATTCTAGCTCCCTGTTTCCTATTATCTATCTTTTATTTTGCTCTTTAATTTAAACTTTGGGTTTCTCACAAAAAGAGAAACCATGTGACATTTAGGCCTGAGGGTTTTTTGTTTATTTGTTTGTTTGTTTTTTGTCTGTTTGGGTTTTTTTTGTTTTTGTTTGTTTTTTTGAGACAAACAGCTTGCTATTCAGGCTGGCCTTGAATTCCTCCTGCCTCAGCCTCTCAAGTGTAGGGATTACAAGTGTGTGCCAACCCTCCCAGGAAGTTTGTGTTTCTGATTTGTATCTCTTGACATTATAGTCTCAAGGTGCATCCATTTTCTAAAAAATGACTCAAATTTATCCTTAATGGCAGAGTAGTACTCCATTGTGTATAAATACTGCTTTTTTTTTTTTTAAATAGATTCATCTGTTGCTGGACATATAGGCCATTTCTACGATTTAGCTATTATGAATTATGTTGCTATAAATATGAGTATGCATGTATCACTGTAGTAGAATGGCTTTAGCTCTTATGGGAAGATACCCAGGAGAGTTATAGCTGAGTCAAATGGAATTTCTAGTTTTAGTTTTTTGAGAAATCTCCATACTGATTTTCATAGTGGTTGTACTAGTTTATATTCCCACCCAAAATGTAGAAGGGTTCCTTTTTCCCCACAGCCTTATCAGCATTTGTTATTTGATCTCTTCATGATAGCCATTCTTTCTGGAGTAAGATGAAATTTCAGTATTGCTTTAATTTGTATTTCTCTAAGGAACAAAGATATTGAACATTTTTTCATGTATTTATTGTCCATTTGTACTTCTGAGAAGTGACAATTCATTTCAGTTGCTCATTTTTGTTTGGATCTTTTATTTGGGGGAATCTAACTTTTTTTTTAGTCTTTATATATTCTAGCATTAGTCTTCTATCCAAGGAATAGCTGGCAATTTTTTTTCTGTTCTATAGGTAGTCTGTTCATTTTGTTGGTAGTTTCCTTTGCTGTACAGATGCTTTTTAATTTGATATGATACCATTTGTTGATTCTTGTGGTTACTTACTGTGCAGGTGGGGTTCTGTTCAGGAAGTCCTTGCCTATGCTTATGTCTTTGAAAGTTTTCCCTATTTTGTCTTCCCACAGATTAAATGTTTCTGCTTGTTTGTTTGTTTGTTTGTGACAGGGTATTGCTATGTATTTCAGGCTGGCTTTGAACTCACTATGTATCCCAGGCTGGCCTCAAACTCACAGCAATCCTCCTGTCTTAGCCTCCCAAGTGACTGTGCTTAATTGGTTTCTGTTTTAATATTTATTGTTTGTTTGTAGAGTTTTTTTGTTTGTTTTTGTTTTGAGACAAGGTCTTGCTATGTAGCCCAGGCTGGCCTTGAATTCATGATGAGCCTCCTACCCCAGTCACACAAATGCTGCCATTACAGGTATGCACCACCACACCTGACTGTTTTAATATTTAGATCTTTGATCTATTTTGATTTTAGTTTCATACATGGTAAGAGATATGGGCCTAGTTTCAGCCTTCTGCAAACATATATCCAGTTTTCCAGTACCATTTGGTGAAGAGACTATCTTTCCTCCAATGTATGGTACTGGTCCCTTTGTCAAAGGTCAGATCAGATAGCTGGGGTTATTTCTGCATCCTCCAGTCTGTTCCATTGAGCCACATGTCTGTTTTTGTGTTGGTGCCATGCTGTTTTTGTCACTGTAGCTTTGTAATATAATTTGAAATCTGGGATTATTATACTTCATGGTTTGTTCTTATTGCCCAAGATTGCTCTTGCTATTCTGAATCTCTTCTGGTTCCATATGAATTGTAGGATTGTTTTCTTTAGTTCTGTGAGGAATGCTGTTGGTATTTTTATTGGGATTATATTAAATCTGTACATCAGTTTTGGAAGTTTGGCTTTATTTATTTATTGAGACAGGGTCTCCCTGTGTAGTTCAGGCTGGCCTCAAACTCACAGTACTCCTCCTACCTCAGCCTCCCAAGTGCTGGGATTATAGATGTGCACCGGCTAGCATGGTCATTTTGACAATATTGGTTCTGCTTATCAAGAAACAGGGGATTTATTTCCACTTTCTGATGTCCTTTTCTCCTTCTCATCTTCCTCTTCTTCCTCCTCTTCCTTCTTCTTCCTCCTCCTCCTCTTCTCCTTCTGTACTAGCGATTGAACTCAGGACCTTGCACTTGCAACGCAGGCAGTGGCACCACTGAGCTAAATCCCGGGCCCATTCCATTTTTTTTTTTTAAGCAATGACAAAGTTTATTTGAAAAAGTCAAAGTGAAGAGTGAGGGAGAAACTGGATCTGCAGAGTGACCTTGGGTATAATAAAAGGAAAAAGCAAGATAAAATAATACCCTGAAGGGAAGGGCCTGGTGGTGCACACCTGTAATCCCAGCTCTCCAGAAGATCACCAGGAGTTTGAGGCCAGCCTGGACTACATAGTGAGATCCTGTCTCAAAAAAAAAAAAAAAAAAAAAAAAAAAAAAAAAAAAGAAAAAAAAGAAAAAGAAAAAGAAAAAAGTGCCAGCTGGAGTAGGAATGGCAGGCTATTGGGAGGAAAGCCGTGACAGCCCTCTTCTGTCTTCTCCTTCAGAGTACTACAGTTTTCTTTAATACAGGTCTTTCATTTTCTTTGTTAAATTAATCGCTAGGTATTTAATTTTTCTTGAAGCTATCGTGGATATTGTTTTCTTAATTTCTTTTTAGGTGGGGTTTCATTATTGGTATACAAGAATGCTACAGATTTTGTGTGTTGATTTGTATCCTGTTAAATTTTACTTTATTGCTAAGTCTGGGATCTCATGATTCTGCTGCCTGAATTCCCCAAGTGGCTGCGCCACCACATGGACTAAAATTTAATTTTTAAAAAACTCTAATAATTTACCCAAATCTGCACAGTAGTCAAAGTTTAAAAATTAATTGAGATAATTTCAAACTGTACTTTCTCCATTATACAAAACCTTTCCAATTTTATCTAGGACTATATAGGTATTTGCATTATTGTCTGAAAAATAACTTCCTTAAAGGCAGAGAAAAAAACATACTGAACAGCTTTTATTTTTGAGACAGGGTCTCACTAAATTGCTAAATTGGCCAGGCTTCCCAAGTATAGGACTTACAGGTGTGTGCACCACACCTGGTTTGCTTCTCTTTCTTTCTTTCTTTCTTTCTTTCTTTCCCTTTCTTTTTCTCTTTCTTTCCTCCTTCCTTTTGCCCTCTCCCTCTCTTTTCTTTCCTTCCTTCGTTTTTTATTCATGTAGCACACAACTGGAGTAAGTACACCAGTTTCCTCACAGACTGTGACAGAGCCTAACAAATCTGGGATTTCTAGAACTTGATCAGGTCCATTCCATCTATGTGCCCCTTAAAAGAGGTTCCAGATTGGCTGGAAATCCAAACTCACCAAATTCTGCAAGAGTCCTATGGTGCCATCTACTGGTACCTTGTAAACATCGATCTTTCCTGTTGTATTTCCAGGGGGAAGTTGGCGAGGACTCAAGAGCTAGTAACTGAAGAACAGTCACATAGTTGACTAGACACCTATACAAAGAAAAGGAACTATTTTTCTCCAGCAATTTCAGGCCCTCCTAACTCCGTACCAAAACATACTTTTAAAAGTCACAGTTCTTGGCTGACTCCACAGGTACAAATATAATTTACTGCCTATTCCAGAACCCAGACCAGCCCACAGGACGTAGGCTTCAGAAACCTCTCAACCTCCACAAACCTAGAACACCACCGCCCAGATTCCCTTATTTTCAGACTCCTAAAATTCCTTGCACTACCTTGCAAATCCCGCCTGTAGACCCCGTCAGAGCAAATGCACGTGCTCAGCTAGACGTCCCTACAAAGAGGCAAGTTCCCTCAGGCAGCTCATGCCGGTAAGAAAGCCTCAAGAGAGCCCCGAAGGGTTCGGCTTGTGCTCTAGCTCCCTACTCCCGCCCGGATCCGGGTCAGTTTGGGTTTGCAGCCAGCCGATCAAAGCCCCGCCCTTCGAGACCTGTCATCATAGAAGCCGCACGTGGCTGGGGTGGGACCTCAGCGACCTGCAGCCATCACTTTGTCTCCTTCGTAGTCCAGGCCGCTGCCAACAATCAGAGCCACGGGTCCGGTCTGGAGCGCGAGCGCCGGGGTGAGGCGAGCTAGAGAAGGAGTGGGGAGGACAGCCTCTGAGATGGGAGGGAGCTCGGGGTGGAAGGGGTCTGGCTGGGGGGAGACTGCCAGTCTGGAGATCGAGGGGCGGGTCCTGGTGAAAGGCGGAGAGACCGAAAGGGGGCGGAGCCTGGGAAAGCGGAGGATCCTGGGGAAATGCAAAGAATAAGGGAAGGGGTGGGCCCAGAGAGGGGTGGGGCCTGAGCTTCCGCGGAGGATCCTGAGGGATTAAAGAAATGAGGAAAGGGGACTGGAGGGGCCTGGCGGAGGTGGGCACTGGGACAAGGGAGAGGGTGGGACAGGGCGTTGCAGGGGTGGGGCTCGGGCCAAAGGGGCGAGGTTTGCGGGTTTACACTGCAGCAGCTCGGGCTGCTTAGTAACTGCCCCTGTCCACTTCCTCAAGTGCAACGAAACCCACGGAACTACAGGTGTGGGGCAGGGTATGCGGAGAAGAAAGGTGCGCTTGGGCAGACCTGAGGAGGTGGGAGCACCGTTGGGGAAGAAGAAAATCTCAAGATGGTTGAGGGGGGCACAGAGTTGGGAGAGCAGTTATGGGCTCAATATGTGGGGTGGAAAGTGCATTCTCCAGGGGCCCTTGTGGGGGAAAGTCAGGAACGTTTCGTGGAGGTGCGAGGTACAATGTTAGGGGGCAGGTTTGCTGTCTAACGTGGAGGGTTGGAGGTGATACGTGCTAGAACGGGGATATGGAGATGTTTTGCAGGGAAGGGAGTTTGTTTAATGGAGAAGGACAGGTGGTCCAAGCTGTGGAAGGATCAGAGGGCTGTGTGGAAAAAGAGAGGATGGGACTGTGGCCAACTGTGTGAACGGAAGGGGTTGTGGACCCTAGTTTAGAAGGGAGAATCCCCAGTATTTGAGAAAGTAGTAGGGCATTGCAGGGGCTCCAAGAATGCATTTGTGTCCGTTCTAAGAGTGGGGATAGTGGAATTAGTGGGGTTAAAGGAGCTAGTCTGGCATGTTCCTGGCTGGTCAACTCCTAACTCCACCTTCAGGCCTGGATACTCAGAAGGAGCCAGGCCCTGCTTGCCACCAGGACTTCTGTGACTGTCTCCTTAGTCTACTGTGGATCTGTGGGGCTGAGACAGGAATTTCCTCCCCTAACTGGTGTCCCTGGGGACCCTCCCCCACAGTGTTCATGTTAACCCCCCCAATCCAGTTCCTGTTCCTCCCAGAAGCCTGCCTTGGTCTCTCTCCCCTTCCCCCACTTTGCCTTGCCCTTATGCGCTGGGTGTGTTCATTTCCCACTTCCTTCCTCACCCTGGGGCCTGGCCTGGTCCTTGCCTGCCTAAGGATGTAAGTTCTACCGGGGCCTTTGTACTCAATGACCAGAGAGCCCAGCAACCAGCAGCAAAGCTTAGATCCCACCCTATTGCTACCACTAAGGTCTCTGCCAAGTGACTGGTAGCCACATTGTACCCCTTGCCAGAAGCTGATTTTGCCCCTACTCTTGTCCCTCCCCTGGGTGGGAAATCCTAGGGCCTTTAGAAATTCTGGGCTGGAGGAAGTGGTGAGGAGTACTGAGGGTCTTTGATGTTTGTTTTGAGATGTGGCTGATACTGTGAGCTCAACCTGGGAAGGGACATGAGGGTCCAGTCCCACTAGGGGAGGAAGAGGGAATGGTGTGTCACACTCCTGGCTAGGAGGCTCACTCTCAGAACTGAGACTAGTATCTAGTCCTCTTGGGGCCTCCTCTTGTTCCCTGAGGGGACTTGATGTAGTGTCAGAATGCCTTTTTCCCTCTTTTGGCTGGGACAGGGTGAGAAAGGGCTCCCTTCCACACCGTGACTGAATGAGTGTGACAGTGTTGCTGAAAAGGGGCCCCAAGCCAGCCTCCTCACAGAGCCACCCAGTATCCAAGAGACTGGTTGGGGAGGGGTGGTTGCTGAGGCCAGACAAAGCCTTAGGGCAGGGTGGGGTAAAGGAGGGCAGGCTGAAGTCTTTTGAGGAGGAGCTGATTTCTATGGCAACACTGCTTCCCAGACAGTCTGTCAGAGAGGGAGGGCCTAGGGCACACTTACTCCAGCTTCTTCTGGACTGGGGGGTGGTGGTGGCATTTTGTGTGAGTGGGTGGGGTGTGAAGGGAAAGGACATCAGTTTGCTGAGCTGAAACTGGAGTGTAATTTTTCTGCTTTGGCTCAGGTGTTAGGGCATTCAGATGCTTGAGCCCATGAGTGAACCACAGCCATTAGAATTATAAGGTCAGAGTTGCAGGGGCCTCTAGTGATCACTGTTTTTTTTTGGGGGGGTTCCTTCTGTTTTGTTTTATTTTTTGAAACAGGTTCTCCCTATGTAATTCAGGCTGTTCTTGAACTCACTATGAAGCCCAGGCTGGCCTCAAACTTGCAGCGATTATCCTGCCTCAGCCTCCCAAATGCTGGGATTACTGGTGTGACCACTGTTTATACAAACCCTTCATTTTACAGATTTGGAAATCTATGGTCAAAGAGACTATGATTCCCCATGTCTCATAGAGAAGAATCAGAAATTAGAATCCAGGTCTGATTACTTTTACAGGGTCTTGTTTTTCTTCACCAGAGATTACTGAGCACCTATTGTATGCCAGGCTTTGAGATACTGACTCTGGGAATATGAGTATGGACAAAATCACAGTTGTTATTCTCATGAAACTTCTATTCTACTAAAGGAAAACATACATTGTGTGTATGTTTGTGCTGGGCATGGTGGTGCACACTTGTGGTCCTAGTACTTGAGAGGTCCAGGCCAGAAGATTGATGTGAGTTGGCGGCCATCCTGGGCAACATAGTGAGACCTTTCTTAAAAAACAAAACAAAGAGACCAAATTGTGTGTCTGTGAGGAAAAAGGGCGAAATCAACTGAGATGATTATTAAAAAATAAAAAGGTAAGAGTTTAGGACCACCACATCAGGCCTCTTGATTGTGCCATGCTGCTTTCCTGTGGTACTGAGGCCTGGAACATCTTTGATCTTTCCCCCTGAACCACTGCCCATTGATATTTGTAGATAACTAAATCCTAGACCTATGGTGCTAACAGTAAGACCAAGATGGAGATTGCTGAGGAATTCTTTCTTTCCTACAGTGTATGTATATATATATGTATATGTTTGTTTTTGTCCTTTTGTTGTTGTTGTTTTTAAGATGATTTTGCTATGTAGCCTAGGCTGACTTGAACTGAAAATCTACCTGTCTTACACTGTCCCTCCAAGTTCCAGGATTACAGGCATTTGCCACCATGTCCAGCTTCCTACAGTGTTTTATGTCTCTACCTGTCTGTCTTTTTTTTTTTGTACCAGGGATTGAACTTGGACCCTCGCATTTGTGAGCATGGAGCTAAATCCCCAGCCCTGAAAATTTTCTTAATCCCTTAATTTTCTTAATTCTTTTTTTTTTTTTTTTTGGTTTTTTTGAGACAAGGTCTCACTATGTAGTTGAGACTGACCTGGAACTCACTATGTACCCCAGGCTAGTCTCGAACTCACAGAGATCCTCCTGCCTCAGCCTCCCGAGTGCTGGGATTACAGGTGTGCAGCACCACACCTGTCTTATTAATTTTCTTAATTCTTAATTCCCAGGGAAGTCAGTCCAAGGGAACTAGGTTCTTTTTTAGCCCCCCCCATCTGAGGCAAGAAGAAACATTGCTGTTTCTCTGAAGTCTAGAGCACAATGAGGAAGTAGGGGGAGAAGAGTCTCTTTTAATGTCCAGTGAAAACCTAATGGCCCTGGGATCACAAAATGTGGAATCCAGAAACAAGGGCCTTGAGCACTCACCAAGTGGCTCCTGAACTATATAAGAATGGGCTTTCCTTCTTTTGGCTCTTGTGTTTGCCTCCTGCTTCTGTGGATGCCAGGGAGAAGAAGACTGACCATTGGACTTACTGACAGCCTGTCTTCCTTACTGACAAGTTCAGAGGGCAAGGTAGACAAGAATTATCCATTTTCTTAGGTTGCTTCTAAAACAGCCCCTCTGAAATATGTCTTTGAATGGCCAATCCTTGCCCAGGTTTTCATCTTGGCCATCTACTGAATAGGAGGACAGAGGTTTGGGGATGTTGGTTCTGCTGCCACTTGATTTGGTTGGATCTGGGGCCTGGGGCCCGGGGCCCAGTGACTCAAGGGGAGGGTGGGAAGTTTCAAGGGAGCTGTGAGTCATGAGGATAAGTTCCATCATAAGAGTTGGATTCATTTTCCCCACTCTAGGCAGAAGCCCTCCTATTCCACTTTTGAGGGTGATTTGCCTCCTTGCACGGGGTCCCTTTTAACTCAATTAAAAGTGCTGGCAAAGAAATTAAAATGTATCCCTGTATCAGGAACCCTTGGGGCCCCTCCAACACAAGCAAGAGTATCAGTTAGTTGTAAGAGAAAGACAATACCATTTCTTAGCACAGATGAAGATAGGATAATACTTTAGGTCTTTTTCTTCTGCCCTGGCATGAAGGAAGCTTCCTGGACACCAACAGTCCTCTGCCTCTGATGCTCTGGCTTGGAACATGCGAAGCGATGAAAGGAAATGGGACGTTTGGGATAGGATCTGGTATGAGAAGAGCAGACCGACTCTGGAGATTGTGGAACTGTGACTATGAAAGTTCCAAGGCTTCTTATTAATCAGCCTCAGAACAAGAAGGGTGGGGAAGGGTTAAGAAGAGTGAGGCCTACACCTTTGAAAGGGTTAAATAGTAGGGCACTGAGTTGCTTTGGACTCGGGCAGAGGAGGGGTTAAGGAGATAGGCGGGATGCCCTTGGTAGGCCTGCCCCCTTGTGGACCAATAGGTGTACACCTTTTGGCGAGGGCGTGACTCCCTCGTGAGGTCGCAGGGAGGCTGGCATCCTCTGGGCCAATGAACTTGGTTTCAAATTAGGAGGTGTGGCCTCAGGGGGGCGTGGCGGCAGTGGCTGCCACGGAT